AGGCTGAGACAGGAGGACTGTGAGTTCAAAGCCAGCCTCAGCAACTTAGTGAGGCCCTAAGCAACTTGGTGAGACCCTATCTCTAAATAAAATATAAAAAAGGGCTGGGGATATGGCTCAGTGGTTAAGCACCCCTGAGTTCAATCCCTGGTACCAAAATAAAATAAAATAACAAAAAAAGAAAAAGGAACCCATATACACTGTTGGTGGGAATGTAAATTAGTATAGTCATTGTGGAAAAAAGAATGGAAGTTTCTCAAAAAATTAAAAATAGAACTACCATATGATCCAGATATATATCTCTCCTGGGTATATATGTGAAGGAAATGAAGTCAGCATACAAAAGATATATCTGCATTTCCAGGTTTATTGCAGTACACACAACAGCCAAGATATAGAATCAGCCAAGGTGCCTATCAACAGGTAAATGGATAAAGAAAATTTGAAATACAAACACACACACAAACACACACTAGAGTATCACTCAGCCATAAAGAATAATGAAATCCTGTTATATGCAAGAAAGATGGATGGGACTAGAGGAATTATGTGAAGTGAAACAAATCAGACAAAAAACCAATTACTCATGTTTTCTTTCATCTGTGGAAAATAAAAAATAAAATAAAGATGACCTGGAAGTAGAAGAGGGACTTTTAGAAGCAGGAAGTGGGGCTGTGGGAAAGCACAAAAGAGGGGACAGTGAGAGAGGGTAGAAGGGAGGGTAGATATAATGAACATGAGGAATGTACATTAGATGCTTGTATGGAAATGTCACAGTGAAACACATGAATCTGTACAATTAATATATGTTAATAAAAAAGAAAAAATTATTCATTCTGACTGTTCTCTTAAGGACTCTAAGGAACAGAGATGGGACCAAAACAAAAATAAATGAAATACCTGAGTGACTTGCATTCACACCTTTCAAGAAAAGTCTCCATGTGGTGAAAGAGTTAAAACAATTGCAGGCAAAAGGATCAAAAATTAACATAGTTAGTTTAATATTTTCTTTCCAAATCAGAGACTTATTTTTGAAGTAGAAAAGGCACAAATTTTTCTCCCTTGTACTTGGCTTATATTTTCCAAATTTTTATAAGTGCCTAAGGAAATGGTACTTTTACTGTGTCCTTTGATTTTGGACCTGCAGTACTTGCCATTCCTTTTCAAATACCTGACCGAGCCTTTATTTGTGCCATATCACCTTCTCTAAAGAGTACAATATAGGGCTCAAATGCCGCCTCTTCACTGCAGTCAGATGCTTTGCTTGTGAGCAGTTAATATTATATCCCTGTTCAACTGGCTGAGAGCAAAATCTTAGAAAACTGACTCTAGTGCTTTTAAGCCATTTCATAACCCCCAAGCAGACTGCCATTACTTCTCTCTCCTGAAGCTGGCAATTAATGACCCTTCTACTTCCAGCTAGGGAGGGAGCTGTTATTCCCCTGCAGTATGTCTCTAGATCAGCATGAGTGCTCCAATTTCATGGTGATCACTGACTACGGCTATCCAAACAGTATCTTTGTTGCTATCTCCTAGAAACAGAATGTCTCTGAGGGGACATCATCCTATTAATTTGGCCTAGCTAGTCTTCACTAATACATCTTCTTTTAGAACTGTCAGTCCGCCATTAAAAAAAAATAATAATTGAATATGTTTTTTTCCTTTTCTGCTTTCAATAACACAGGAGAATTATCCTTTCATTTTTAATTCTTCATTCAAAGCCTGTCTTAGGGGAAAAAAAATCTTATTTTAACTGGGGATAACCAGATGCTAGTCTATTACAGCTGCAACAACTTTAAAAAGCTGTACAAAAGAAAAATGTGGCTTCTACCTCCTAAAGCCATTAGATTTTTTTTTTTCTTATTAAGGTACCCAGAATACAATATTATACTGAGCCAAAAGGACCAATTTTCTTCATGGAGTAGAATAGTAATTGGCTGTTACTCATTAAATTCTTACAGCAATGAGCAATGACTTTCTTTCTTGTTTTGTTTCTCTTTGAATAGTTGATGAAGTTGACTTTTTTTTCTCAAGGCTACCTCCTAGCATCAGCATCCCTGATCTTTGGCCTATGTAGCTATTAATATGCTGCACACATACACTTGGTTCCTTAACAACCAATGCAGTTAACCTTTCTGTTTATTCCAAGTCAGTTCCTATCTTATTAGTGAAAATTGATTTTTTCTTTCTTAACATAATAATTTAATCTGATACAAAAACATATATACACACACATATATATATGTACATATATATATAAATTTTATATATATACACACATAATTCACTGGTTTTCTAAATTCTTCTTTTTTTTTTATTTCAAGGGCTTCAGGGGTCATGGGTTTTCATGTTCTCATTGAGAAAAACATATCCATTTGTGGTAATTCCAAAAGACAGTATACTATAGCTACTTTACAAATATATAGTTATTACCTTGTGTATTTGGTAGGAGATAAACTATGCAGCCCAAAATTTACCATTATTCTCAAAAGAAAATCTGATTCCCTTTTAGGTGTAAGATTATCTTTTCTGGAGCTAATGATTAAGGAGTAAAATATCAGAATTTATACTAAAAAACACTTTGTCCTAACTACCTGTGTTCAAGGTACTTCTCTCATACTACTTGACACCATCATTTTATATGTATCTGCCTGTTAATCATCTATATTCCTCAAAGACAGGAAACTCCTAGACAGTAGGAATTATGTAATAATGACTATTTCATCTTCAAGGCACAGGGTCTAGAAGATGGTATACAATCATGTTAGTATTAGTATTACATTCAATGTAAAAGTCTGCCCTTTTTTGGAGGGGAGTGCAGGGCTGGGTATTGAACCCAGAGCTTTGCAATGCAACATACCTGCTCTACCACTGAGCTATACCACCAGTCCCCAAAGGCTAATGAATTAGTCATAGTTTTAAACTACCTGACACACAACATTTAAGAAACAAGTTTTAACCACACATTATCCCAATTTAGACAGATACGCCCAGTTTCAAATATCAATAATATCTACCTGAACACTAAGCATTCTTACAGGAGACAGCAAAAACCAGGCTCTATTTGTGGGTTTTCCATCTTTTTATTGATTCCAGTCACTGTTACTAGTACGACCTTTGGCAAATCACTTTAACCCTAGAATATCTCATATGAGAGATTAAAATGGGAAATTAGACTAAATGGTCTCCTAGTATCTCACTGGGTCCAGCTCTAAAAAATGATTAGGCATAAATTAGTAAGGTACTTTCGGTATAACTAGTATAACAGTGCTTGCTAACACTAGAGGGAGCTACATTCATGTCATCACTGGGGTAGTCTGGGAGATTTCAAGAAAAAGCATCTTTAAATGGACAACTGATTTGCCAGAATGAGAGAAACTCAATATGGAGTGAGGGATCCATACTGTAGATACGGCCATTCACAGGCTCTTATGGATATCTAAGCTCTGCAGGCCTCACTTTCATTGACACACTGTTTGAGCTTTAATTTTAATCCCCTGAGAATCAAGCTGGCTTTGAGCTACTCCTAAAGATTTCTTTCCTATTCAGTCTATTTTCTTTATTAATCAAATTAACAACAACAAAAATCAAAGTAATTAATGATATTGTTGGAAATTTCCCAAAGAAGGGAGAGAGAGAAAGAGACTGAAGCTATGGCCTGGGAAAAAGTTAACTAATTAGGAAAACAGCACAAAAAGAGGAAAATATCAAGGAAAAGAAGGAACTGCCACAGCTCTGCAGCGTGGATGCTGGAGTACCTGCTGTGGATAGCCCACTAGGCTCTTTGAAAAGAAGCTCACAGCTGCTGGGCAGTGATGTCACAAATTAGAGGCAATGGGGTCACATGAGTCATTTGGAAAGAAAACCGTCAAATGATGAGATAAGGGAATGGAGGCTGGGGTAGAGAAAATAAAAGAAAAAGCATTTCTAAAGCCGAAGCTTATTCTCTCTCCTGTCTCTGAAAAACGCCCATGGCCTTGAAAATGTTTGACCTAAACCATTACAGAACAACTGAAATGAACAATCAAAAAACTCTCCCTTGGAATCAACGGTTTCTCATTGCCCAGGGGAACAATGGTCTGTTAACCTGACAGAAAGGGCATAAATCATGGATATTACAGAATGTAGTCTGTGGGAGAAAGATAAATGCAATCCCGAAGAACCCCTTCTATTTAAATTTCACAGATTAATGCAACACTCAGAAAAGCATAGCTTCAACAGTCAGAAACGGACCACCTACTTTTTAGGACATGGACTGCTCCTGAGTAAAAACAGACTATACAACAACTTAGGAAAGTGACTTTGTGGGTGAAGAGGAAAGTCTACTAGAACAAGACAAACAGTTCTTTTTCACTTAAAATAAATGCAATCTCGAACCTGCAGAGGTTAAGTACTGAGTAAAACACTTATTCCTATGGACCTAATTAGTCGGGATACCCCATCATTCCTTTCTGTTGTCGACTTTGTGGTGCTGGAGATGGAAACCCGGGTCTCAGAAATGCTAGGCAAGCTCTCTACCACTGAGCTGTGCCCCTCAGACCCTCAATTTTTCTATTTTTCTTCTTTTTTTCTTTTTCCTGAAGTGCTGGGCAATGAACTCCAGGGCACTTTACTACTAAGCAGCAGCCCCAGCTCTTTTTTATTTTATTTTGAGACACGGTCCCACTAAGCTGACCAGTCTGATATCAAACTCGAGATTCTCCTGCTTCAGCCTCCCAAGTAGCTGGGATTACAGATGTCTGCCACTGTGCTGGCTCCTCCCTCGTATTTTCTTAAGTCACCAATTTCAAGCACTTAGAAGTACCAAGGCATTAACAAGAGTCGAGAGGATTTCCACTTTTTTAGAACATTAAAAAAATTAATAGCCCTTTTAATCAATGATCCTCATGAAAAGCATGAAAAAATATATACTCTACTGTTAAAAGGAGAACAACTTGTTTTCCTCTCTTATGTAGGACACCATGCCGAAGGATTTCCAATTCATTCTGCTTCATACTGACCTTTAAAATGTTCCGGCCATCAAATGACTCTCTTTCTTTAAAGATATATTTGCCATCCGCTGTGTAGAGATTGTACCTGCCTTCAGCTGTAAATATTCCAAAGATAATGTTAGAGGAGAAGTTTGGGTTATGTATCTGTTTATATTCTCTTGATTTCTATAGGTACACAGATGCAACTAGCAAATGTTCATGTACTACCTGGAAAGTGGCATAATATGATGGGCAAAACAACAGGTTATAAATCAAGTGATGGTTTCTAGAGCCAGCTCTGTCACCAACTCATTCAGTACACATTTATTCATTCAACATTCTCCAAATATTCACAGTACATACTTAATAACTTTGTAACTAGCTACATTCTTAAGGAAATTATTTCTCCTCCATGGACCTCAATTCTTCCTTACAGAATCAGAGGTTGAGATGAAACTGTGTCTCCAAAGGTTCCTTGCCACCTACAAATCCAAGATAAGCTGCATGTAATTTTAAGTGTATAAAAATACACAAAAGTTCACACTCTGGTCAAAACTGATGGCAATGAGGCTTTGGGTTGATTTAAGCACTCCCCTTGAAGGAAAAAGAGTCCTTTAGTTGCAATCAAAGGTATCCTTACAAACATTCTACACAGAATACAGAAAATCTATGACCTTGGCCCAAACAAAGCCATGCTCTAGATTCTTGTGTCAATGTAGGCTGATATCCCAAAAGATGTCCTTAAAAAAGAAAAGGAATATCAAAGGAAAGGCAAACAGAAAAAGCAACACATCATTTCATGTCCTTTTCAAATAAAAATTCAATACAGAGAAGAGTACAGGCAAGAGAAAATTCAAAGCATTCTTAAGAATTATTTAACTTTCAGAATATTTTCTGAAATATCAAATCTTTCCTACCTACTGAGAGATCTTCAAAAATTATCATATTTTCACCTTTGAGTGTGTTCTTTTGCTTATTCAGATATAGATAATACCAGGTCAAAACTGATAAAAATTTATCCAGAGTTTTAACAACTCCACAAATATAATGCATTTTATCTAGACATACAGGTACCTGTGTAACTATTTCTCTAATGAGAAGTATTCTCCTAACCAAGAACCTCAATCCCAAACATATTTTACAATTAAAAATAAATTTCCTGGGAGACAGAGATGCAGCTCAGTGGTAGAGCACTTGCCTAGCACATGTGAGGCCCTGGGTTCAAACCCCATCATCGTTTAAAAAAAAAAAAAAAAGTTCCCTGTTAAGAAAAAGAGAATATATACAGTTTTAAAAGAACAAGTAAATTAATACCAAATAACTATCAATTAAAAAACAGAAATCATATCTGAAGATTGAAATATTTAATGACAAGTTCAAAATCTATAAGTAGCATTAACCATCAGGGAAATTCTAATCCAAACCAAAATGAGGTTATACCCCACAAGGATAGCTATAATTGGAAAACACACACACAGATAATAGCAAGTACTGATAAAGATGTGAAGAAACTGAAATGGTCAGACACTGTTGATGGAAATGTAAAATGGTGTAGTCACTTTGGAAAGTCTGGCACTTTCTTAAAATATTATGCATAGAGTTATCATATGACCCAGGAATTCCATTCCTAGATATATACCCAAGGGAAGTAAAAACAGATGCCCCTACAAAAACCTGCACACAATATTCATAGTAGATTATTTGTAATAAACAAAAAGAATAAACAATACAAATGTTCATCAACTGGTGAATGGATAAAATATGATGCATTCATACAAAAAATATTATTCAGCAATTAAAAGGAATAAAGTACTAATACATAATAAAACATGGATAAACACTGAAAACATTATGCTAAGTGAAAGAAACCAGTCACATACTGCATGATTCTATTTACAGGAAATATCTAGAACAGGCAAATCCATCAAGAAAGAAAGTGGACCAGTGGTGCCTAGAATTAGCATTGGGGACAGGATGAAATAAGGAGTGACTGTAAACGGTATTGTCTTGTTGACAGGGTGATGGAATGTTCTAAAACTGATTGTGGTGACGGTTATACAACTCTGACTATGCTAAAAACTTACCCCCAGCCCAATTGTGACAACTAAAAAGATCTTCAGACAAATCCAAATATCCTCTGGAGGTAAAATCACACCCAGGTGAGAACCGTTGGTCTCAACTCACACACACACACACATACCTTACATACATACACACATGTACATATATACATATACACATTTTATTTATTTATTTATTTATTTTGCAGTGCTAGAGATCCATTCCAGGACCTCACACACACTAAACAGGTACTCTACCACGAAGCTACATCTCCAGGCTTGAACCTACATTTTTTTTATTCATTAAATCTGGCAACCCCATATGTGACTGAAATAAAAGATATGGAAGATAAGCTAGATATGTCACTGCCCATTTCTACTAGGTTCATCAAAACAAGTTAATAGATCTAGAAGTAAAGATACATCAGAGATTCTAGAATGGCCATTCTATTTAAAACTCTAATACCATAAGTCCTTACTGATCACAACTGTGCTACAGCTCCTTTTTGTTTGTTTTTGTGGAAATGGGGATTGAACCCAGAGACAAATTACCACTGAGCTACAGTCCCAGCCCTTTTTATTTTTTATTTTGAGATAAGGTCTCACTAAGTTGCCCTGAACTTGCAATTCTCCTATCTCAGCCTCCCTGGTGGAAGAAGTAGAATGCACTGCCAAGCCTGGCTGTGCTCCAGCTCTGTGAGGACTTACCATTGGGGTCTTTCCTGAACAGGGTATTCATGACTGTAGCATGCAGTTTCACACTATTCCACTCTTTCACTGTTAGTCCAGAAGCCTGAAAGCGTTCCAGCACTCTATCAACTAATTCCTGCAGCCTGGAGAAATTGAAGAAAGAAGTACAAAATGTTAATAAACTCCTGACCCATGACTACTAATCCAACAATGTGCAAGAAGCATCTGCTCAACACCAATCACTGCACAAAGCCCCTCATCAGAGGAGAAAGAAGAGGCTGCAGCCCTACCATCATGGAGCTCACTGTCTTGTCAAGCAGACAGACACAGAGACAAACAGTTATAATATATACACACACACACACACTGGTGAATGCTGAGAAGGCATTCAACTCTACAGAGAAGGCCAGGTTTCCACAGGTGGTTTAAACATAGTCTTGAAGGGTCATTAAAGATTCATAGCAAAACCACAGAAGATGGGCACTTGAAGCAGAAAAACTAGCATGTGCACAGACACCAAGGCATGCAAAATCACAGCATATCTAGAAAACTTCCAATTATTTAATACACCTATAACAGAGGGAGAGAAGAAGGACAATGGAGAGGAGCTGGATACGTAAGCAGTGATCAGACCACAGGAGCCACAGAAGACTTTTAGCAAGGAATGGTGTGATCCATTGTCCCATTTCTGAAAGCTGATTGTGGCACAGTGCAAAAAGGTTTAGGCGGGGAAAAGCAGCAGCACAGGGTCAGTGAGGCAACTGCTTGCTGGGAGAAATAACAGACGGGACGTATGGGCACCATGCTAAGCACTGTGCATATGCTGAAACATTCAACCCTCACAAAACTTATTATCCCTATTTCACTAATGAGGAAGCTACAGCACAAAGAAGTTATGAAACTTGGTCAAGGTGACACTAACTACTATGGGACAGATTCAAAATTAGAATATGTGGGGTTCAGGGGTAACTCAGTGGTATAGAATACATGTTTAGATCCTAAGTTTGATCCCCAGCACTGCTGGGAGTGGGGGAAAGGTGGGGAGAGCTGTTCTGCTTCCTTACATAGTTACCTTAATTTTTCTGGTTATAAAAATCATACATGCCAGGCATGGTGGCACATGCCGCTAATCACAGCAATTCAGGAGGCTGAGGAAGAATTGCAAGTTTGAGGCCAGCCTGGACAACTTAGTGAGAGCTTGTCTTAAAAAATAAAAAATAAAAAGGTTCGGTGGTAGAGCAACTCTGGGTTCAATCTCCACTAGCAGTAGTAGTAATAACAACATTAATAATAATAACAATAAATGTTCATTAAGGAAAATGCAGAAAAGCATAAAAAGGAAAACACAACCTCATAAACACAAGTGTTTATGTGTGGTGGTTAAGTTATATAATCAGAAGAAAAAATAAGATACACTGGGTTTTAAAGTTTCTAATTGGGCAGGCGATGTAGCTCAGTGGTAGAACACTGGATGTGCCAAGTCCTGGATTCCATCACCAGTACCACAAAAAATACACCAAGTTCCTGATTAACTCACACCATCAGAGAACCATAAAATTTGGAAATACTTCTAAACACTGCAGCATAAGTCTGGACATAACCATGCACTTCAAAACCTACCTCAATTACAACCACGACAGAATGATGCCTCAACTTTTTTTTTCTCTATTAGAAAGGAGAAGGTGGAAAGCAAGTCAACTACACAAAACATGAAATAACTGAATAGACTAACTGAAAGATATGAGATTCCAGCTTTGTCTTTCAGAGAATTAGGATTTCTGCCAATTTATTGACTCAGAATTTTTTAAAGGACTAAAGTCCTATAAAACCTGCTGTTTTTAAATAGGAGGAAGTGATGCACAGCCAGGCTGTGCTGCTCAAAGTCAGTAACTGAGGAACCAGGATCCGTCTCTGGTGACTGGTGTGCTTTGTTATTACCTCACTGTGCTCCATGAAGGTGGACTCTTTTTTCTTCATGCACTACTTTATTACTGCATAAAGATTAATGTGTAATTGACACATCACTGGTGCTCAATAAACAGTTGATGCATGCATGCATGTGTGAATTCATCAATGCCAAATATTTTGGAGTGCTATTAAAAGAACTTAAGGGTACTTGGGCATAATCACTAAATTTGGGGTTGATACTATGGACGCTATATTTGACAACATGTCACTATATTTCTGACAGTATATTCTTTCAATCTTACTTCAATGATCCTTTCCTGATTGACTATGAATAAGTCTTAAAGATTCCTATGCCTCTGCTTCTTTATAAGCAAATTAAAAATAATAGAGTTGCTATGACAAAAATTATTCTTAAGCAGCTTTATTGTGTAGGTAGTGATTTGGGCATGAAAACAGATGACAGGTATAAATACATTAAATTTAAGCTCTTCATTTAAGGCTGTAAGTGCCACATAGCACAAGCATCCAGAGTCATCTTTACAGATATGGAATTTATTCTGCGAATGTTCACTGACTCCTTAAAGTCCAGCCTTTGGTTTGGCTTTTTCCCTTCAATTTAATTCAGTTTTATTTGATTAGTACTTCCTAAATGCCTATTATACACAGCCAATATGTTAGCCACTACAAGAATTTAAAAAAAACTAAGCAAATATAATCTGTTATCAATAAATCTACAGTCTATTAAGATAACAAAAATTTTTGTTTTTGTTTTTGTTTTTTATAAAACTATAAAGTAGACTCTGGTAATGAAATAAACAACATAAAATCCTTCAGGTAGGGCTGGGGACATAGCTCAGTTGGTAGAGTGCCTGGACAAGGCACTGGGTTCAATCCCCAGCACCAAGTTTATCAAGTATACCCAAATAACACTTGCCTGCTATCCAACATTATGTGTGGTTATGTATGCATTCATTCAGAGATGGGGTCTCGATTTGTTACTCAGGTTGACTTAAAACTGTCCTTTCTCTCACCTCCTGCCTAAGCCTCCTGAGCAGCTAACACTACAGCCACATGACACTGTGCCTGGTCCAACATTGTTTTTAATTTTTTTTCCTCTTTCTCTTTCTTCCCACTTTTGAGGGGAATACATGAATGTACAAATAATTTTGTAATCTGCTTTAATTATTTAACACTCTACAGTTAACATTTTTCTAAGATAATATTTAGTTAATCCATAGTATTCTCTATTCTATAGATGTTTTGCAGTTTATTTCCCATCAACCTGAAGGTTTTTTGTTTTGGTTTGGTTTTTGGTTTTTAGTGAAGCTAGGAATAGAACTCAGAGCCCTATGTATACTAGGTAAGCGTTCTACCACTGATTTAGACTTCCAGCTCTGATTTGGACTGCTGCTAATGTTACAGTTTAGATATGAGGTGTCCCCCAAAAGCTCATGTGTGAGACAATGTAAGAATTTCCATAGGTGAATGATTAGATTTTGAGAGGTGTGACCTAATCAGTGGATTAACTGATGGTGCCAGGTCTCTGAGGAGTGAAGAAGGAAAGGGGTCAGAAGAGTAAGTAAAGGAATTAGGTTCATCAGATGAAATGTGTGCTATTCTTAAAAAATAATAATAATAATAATAATAATAATGAAATCAAGTGGGGTAGAAGATGTGAAAACAGGTAAATTGTGAGGGGAAAGAAGGAAAACACTGAGGGGTTGGCTGCATAACCTAAGTGAGAAGTGTGGAAACCATTCTTCTGGAGGGGCAAGGGGGTATGGGCTTCAAAGAATGACAGAACAGCCACTGTATTCAGCATCTAAAGTCTAAAAACTGACTAGTAGGTACTGAGTAAAAGGCTTCTAGCTCCTTAAATTCTTAACCTGGTTGTGCCTTACCAAATCCAAGGATGCATCAATAAGAGTAAGTCCACCGTCTCAGCTGTTTCCAGAAGAAAATCTGATCTAAATGGCCCCATCCTTTTAAGAGTCAGGTATTTTACATTCAATCGTTTTAAGGGACCCTTGCATTTATAATATATGAAAGCATACACAGGAGATTGACTGTGTGTATTTTTATTATAACATGCTCTGTCCCCCGTGCCTCTTGTATTGAGCTGTGTCTCTTCACACAAAGCAGCATACAAGACTGAATGAACCTTTAAAAAGGGGTCATGTCTTACTTCTCTATCAATTGGCATAGCCTTGCAAAATACCTTGTGCAAGGAAGGCATTTCAGCTTTTAAATTGAATTAAATAAAAGGTAAGTCTTTGGGCTGGGGATGTAGCTCAAGCGGTAGCACGCTCGCCTGGCATGCGTGCAGCCCGGGTTCGATCCTCAGCACCACATACAAACAAAGATGTTGTGACCGCTGAAAACTAAAAAATAAATATTAAAAAAATTCTCTCTCTCTCTCTCTCTCTCTCTTTTTTTAAAAAAGGTAAGTCTTTGAAAATTGTGATTTGGGAGGAGAAATTTACAAATCTTCTTGAAATAATACAAACATGGCTCTTCTTATGAAGAGAAACAGACAATATAAGAGACAAAATAGAGCAATAAGAAGAGCTGGGAATTACTCAAAAATGTGATTGGTTGATCCCACTAGTAGGTTCAGCAGGTATTTCACCTTTTTAACTTACAAAGCCTTGACAACAGGAAATGTAAAGGCCAGATGTGTGGGAAAATAAAGGGTGGATTCACCTTCTCAGCCCTTAGCTCTCCATTAATATGACGACAAATTAAGTCTGAGCACTGTCTTCAAAAGACATCGAGTTTTCTATAGCTCTTATTTTCTTCCAATCTCAAATCAATTATTCTCTGTGCTTGGAGATCTATACCACTCAGGGTTTAACCTCTGAAGCAGAACATGTCCAATGGAAACAATTGCTGGCAGCTGGAAGTTTGCTGGGGCCAAAGGGGCCAAAGAGATTAACCAAGGTCCTGACCCAGTGATTGTCTGGAGTCGGGGGTCTGTTTATGTGTTTCCACAGGGAGAACAGCAGCCGATTTGGATTCCAGAAAGATTAACTAAAGCGATTTCTACAGACCAAAAAGAAGATGATTTGGCTCAAATCCATAACAACTGATATCCAAAACTCCAGTTTGGCTATTCTTACATCTGCAACAGAACCAGGATGCTTTTTTCAATATCTATTTTATTATTGCCCTTTGCCATATCATGAAGTTCTATTTTGTTTTTTGAGCTCATACAGACCTAGGTTAATGTTTTGAT